AAAACATTTTGTTTTATCCCTCCCCATTGTACTGCATGGTGTTTATTTATCAGTGACTCCCAGCCTTTCCCACCAAAACCCTAAAGCCAGAAAGAGATTTGAAATGCTCAGTGACTCTTTTCAAAAGTAATGCTATTCTTGTATCAATAATAACAAAACAACTTCATGTTCAGCCTGTGTATATGGGGCCTTCCTGCTCACTTGGCCTTTGCAACCCAGAACTATGTACCAGAAGCAAAGGACAGTGCTAGCTCCTTGGCCATTGTCCTCAGTGCCTGGCACAGGGCTGATCCAAGAGCCCCACAACCCCCTCTTGAACACATCTCCTATACCCCGTGAATGTGTCACTCAAAGGTTGGGTGTCCTCTTTTCTGTGTATCCTACCTAACCTGTGATCTCCTCGGTAGTGCAAAATCAACCTAGGTTATAATTAGAAATTATTATCCATCTCCAAACTGAATTTTACTAAGGGAGTCAGTATAGGAAGCCGTTAGTTTCCTGTGGAATGCTTGCTAGTTATCTGTTATGTCACTTTAAGTGAGTTGATTTGGTATACTGTGTGTTTCTGGTGCCATTTTTTTAGCAAAATTAAAAGTTGATTTTAATTTTTATCTGCAAGCACATATAAAATGTTTATGGGTATCTATTCTGATTTGTGTAACTTGCTTTTTCTGCCAGTTAGATATTTGAATTTCAAGGTGATACATACAAAAACCTTTCTTCTTAACCTACTTTAATTGAAAGATAGTTATTCCCATGCCATATTTATCGTACAGTTATGAATCTTTCTCCTCCATTTCTGTTGATTCATTACTTAAAGAATATTCTGATTCTGCAGTCATAAATGAATTGTGCTACTTTATCATCAGGCCAAAAAGATATTTAGATCTAAACTCTATTCACCCTTTCTGTATCTATGACCTGTTCCTTTGTTAAGTAAGCACAACACTTCCTACTAGATGAGATTTCTGAGATCAGACGTGACTTCACTGTGTTTGATGGATTAATAGCTCTTAGACTTTTTATTTGAAATGCTAATTTAGTTTAATGAACAATTTAAGTAGATTATTCATTGTTGAAACTAATTTGTGTCTTTTGTTCTTAGATGTAGTACAGTGAACAGCCGATTGGCAGCCTATGAAGTCCTTGTAATGTTGGCTGATAGCTCACCCTCAAATCTTCAGATTATTACAAAAGAACTACTTTCTATGCATCATCAACCCGACCCTGCTCTTACCAAGGAGTTTGATGTAAGTTTTCCAGACTTTGGCATATTTAATTTTTTAGGATTTCTTAAACATACAATTTTAAAATTATGTTTCATTTTCCTAACCACAAAGAAAGTCTCTGTTAATC